AGCTCTTCTTCGTCTCTATATCCTTCTTTAGCAGCCTCCGCTAACAAGTTTTGCCACTCGAAATGACATGTCTCCTGCACTTTTCTCCTTTCCTTCCGCCTTGCCCATCGCATCCGCACTCCCTCCCCAATCTTCATCCGTGTCTCCTTGCTGTAAAAATCATGCAAATTTGGGAAGATAGTATTATGATAACAAAAGCATAACAAAAACCAGAAGGTCTAACAAGTTTAAAAGCAAAAGAAAAATCGGTACTGACTTTTGTGCATGCCCAAGATTCGCTAATTTCAGCTTGATCTGCGCAGGACGAAGACACAAAGGTTCTATGAGGGGTTGAAAATTCTGATGCATAGAGCAGACATAAACGCCCTAACATTACATAAGGTTACCTGCAACCGCTTTCTTAAAGGGTACATATACCTCAAACTACACTATAACAAGGGTCGAATAATACCAGTACAAGTTCCACTAGAGTTACTACTGGCAACTCCTCTAAGAAGACATATAGAACCATTCTTACATGACATCACCTTTGGGTCTTGCATTGCAATCTTTGTCCTTTCTCTAATCTTCTGTAGGGTCTCTGCATAAACGCAAAAGAAAGAAGATTATGAAAAAGTTTCCAATTAGAAGCAACTGCAGATAAATTGCTGAAGATACGCGTAAGCAAAAACTACCTACCCGGACTATGCTTCCTGCCTTTGTTCCAAGGAGTGTTCCCTCTATTTGCCTTAGAAATCCTCATCCTTCTCAACTTTTCTCTGTCATCCACTTTGTCATCATCAGCACTTCCATCTGAGGATTTTGAAGAAGCAGAAGACAAAGAAGAGCTCTGTTCGTTTTCTTTCTGAGCCGGATACTTTGTTTCAAGAGTGGCCACTGCAGTAATAAGGACTTTTCCTCTTCGGACATGAGTATGGCCCGTGTAAAACTTCAAATTCTTGGAGAAACAGGATTGTCTCCATGGATTAGGTAGAGTTTTAGCATGGATAATACTCTGAGCCCCCAATGGAACAAGATGAGCTTGCAAGGAAGGTTGGATAGTAGCAATATCTGCAAAATTAAACCATTTCCATTAGCTAAGAAACTGGGCAAAAAATGCAACGCACTTATCTTTTCTTATATGCATTTAACAAGTTTGTAACTATGAATATGTCATATTTTAAAAAGCTTAGCTTTCTTTAGACCAAGATTGCAAATGCAAAGAATTGTTAGTCAAGAATGATACCCAATAGACAAGAAGCAAAATTGATAAGAAAGAGAGTCTCAATACTGAAGTAGAATTCTAAACAGTAACCAAACACAAAGCCAGAAAAAGAGTAAAATCATCAGACAGAGGATAAATGTTGGAAAAAATTGAAACTTTACCAGAAAAGGTACCTAAAGAAGGCATTGGGAGCTCATTCAGCCCAGGAAAACGAAAAAAAAAGAGAAGAAACTTGAAACCCTCTTCTTTGCGACAAAACAAGAATGTCTTGTAAGATTAAGGTGATTTATGTTCCTCTACTTGTCATAGAGAGGTTAGGGTTTTTGCAGGAATTTAAGACAGACAAGGATAAGCCACACAATATATCAAACTTCAACGAAGATACTTGTCTGGCTTTGACGCAGCAACCAGGGGAGGTGATGGATAACGAGACCCGGCTCGTTCTAATGACCCGACCCGTATCACTCTATTTTGGGCTACTGGGCCTGAACCTTTATAAGGATATTAGCACGGTAACCTTTGTAGTGAGGGTAATAAGTAAACGCGAATCAGTACAAGCCACGTGGTATGGGCCGCGTTTCACAGCCCAATAATATACACGTGGGATTATTTTCTCTGGCCTCTCCAAAAACAAGTTTAGTCATTCGGTAAACAGAAGTCACTAGCGAATCAAAGATTCAAAGTACAGCACTTGAGCTACCGAGAACACGTTTTCAACAAGCTTGTCGCAAGATTGGCGTTACTCCGGTACCTCCATCTTGAGGGGGTGTATAGGAGTATATGTTAAAAATAATTAGTTTAGGTTTTAAAATGTAATTATTAATACTCTAATTATGTCTTGCCTCTGTATAAATATGTGTATTCTCATAACCTATCAATCAAAGAATTATTTCAGAGTTTACCGAATGACTAAACTTGTTCTTGGTTGCTTATATGGAAACTTGCAGGTATCAAGGAGTCTGATACTGGTTAAACATAATGTAACAGTAACACTATTACATGATCATCTTAGAACACTAAGTAACGAATCACTTTGAATTACAATTTATCTTTCTTTAAAATGTGAACCGGGTCATTCAATTTGATTACCGATAACCCGAGCCATATCACCTTTTATTGGGCTACAACAAGGCCTTTTTAGATATCTTATATCAACAACGTCGTATTAATTATCTTTTAATGTGAATGAAGAAAAGCCACGTGGTGTGAGCCGGGTCGGATCTCGGATAAAAGTCTAGTTATATGGGTCGACGGTTTCCGGGTTGATCTCCGGCAACGACTGCGTTACTTCATCAATGGTGAAAGATTCCTCGTCGGTGTCTTCTTCGTCGTCATTGTCATCTCCAGATGAAGAAAGCGATCTCCACAATCTTCTCGAGGAATCAGATTCTCAAATCGACCAATTTCGTGTCAGCGACGCGGCGGCTGAACAACGACCTACCTTCGATGTGGAGAGTCTCCGATCACGTTTACGACGGAATCTTAAGCTCAATCTCACTAAGAAACAGTCCATTGTTATCTTCCTTCCTATCGTCATCATCCTCATTTACTTATCTACTGATTTCAGCAATTACTTCTCCGTCAGAGTTCCTGATTCTGTGTTCCGGTCAAATACATTAACGGGTCGGGCTCATGAATCGGATCTTCAAGCACTGTATCTTCTCAGGAAGCAAGAGAGCGATCTCTTCTCTATCTGGAACCATACTTTATCGAATTTATCAACAATCGAAGACGTGAAATCTGCAGTTTTCCGGCAGATTTCGTTGAATAGGCAGATCCAAAATGCATTACTCTCTCCGCATAAAACTGGAAATGTTGAAATTGGTGGTTCATCAGATGTTTACTTCGCCGGCGGAAGTTGCCGGAAAGTGGATCAGAAGTTGAATGGGAGGAAGACGATTCAATGGAAGCCGAGACCGGATAAGTTTCTGTTCGCTATTTGTTTGTCTGGTCAAATGAGTAATCACTTGATTTGCTTGGAGAAGCATATGTTCTTTGCAGCATTGCTGAAACGTGTTCTTGTGATCCCTAGTCATAGATTTGATTACCATTACAGTAGAATTATCGATATTGATCGAATCAATACTTGTTTGGGGAGGAATGTAGTGGTTTCTTTTGAGGAGTTTTGGAAGAAGGATAAGAATAGGAAGAAGCATCATCATGTTCATATTAATAGATTCATATGTTACTTCTCGAAACCGGAGCCTTGTTATGTAGATAAAGAGCATATTACAAAGTTGAAAGCTTTGGGGATCACCATTGGAGGGAAGCTAGACACACCATGGGAAGAAGATATTGCGAGTCCAAGCAACAAGACAGCTGAGGAAGTGGAGACTAATTTCAGATCAGATGACGATCTTATTGCGATTGGGGATGTGTTCTATGCTAATGTTGAGAGAGAGTGGGTGATGCAGCCTGGTGGTCCTGTGGCTCACAAGTGTAGGACTTTGATTGAACCAAACCGGCTAATTTTGCTGACTGCACAGAGATTTATTCAGACTTTCCTTGGCAAGAACTACATTGCTCTTCATTTCCGTAGGCATGGATTCTTGAAGTTTTGGTATGGTCTATTTTCTACTTTTTGATTGTTTTTAAGTTCTCTGGTAGTAGTCGTAGTATGGTAGTTGAAAATTACCAAATTCTACATTGGATGACAATGTAGGTATCTTAGTCTGGACCAAATTATAGGATATTAGCATTAATGATATGGTAAACATTTAGAAGTGTGGCTGTGCTTTTGTGAATGAATAATTGGAGTTCTACATCTACAAGTTGAGGCGAATTCTGTTGAGCAGGTTATCAGTTATGAATATGGGCATTATGAGTTTATATCTCTTGTACCAAGAATACTATTTTCTTAATAGCGTCTTTTCTTTATGGTGTTTAAGATGCATTGTTTTTAATTTTCATAGTAGCTTTTGGTGAAGCTCAGTTCATTACATTATGAAAATTAAATCAGGAACCTTAGCTAAGATATTTTCGTCTTGTGCCAGTAATGCCAAGAATCCAAGTTGCTTTTACCCCATTCCTCAAGCTGCTAACTGCATCACTCGTCTGATTGAGAAGGTCGAGGCACCGGTTATATACCTTTCTACTGATGCAGCCGAAAGCGAAACTGGTCTGCTACAATCGCTGTTGATCCTGAATGGAAAGACTGTCCCCCTTGTGAAGCGACCAGCTCGTGATTCAGCTGAGAAATGGGATGCATTGTTATACAGACATGGTCTCGAGGGCGACCCACAGGTAACATCTCTGCTCTTCGCTTTCCTTCTTCATATTGGGGATTTGAAAGAATGGATCATACACGGATCAACAAACTCACACTTGGGATTTTCACTTATTTTAAAGGTGGAAGCAATGTTGGACAAGACGATATGCGCAATGTCAAGCGTTTTCGTTGGTGCTTCGGGTTCCACTTTTACAGAGGATATCCTCAGACTCAGAAAAGATTGGGGAACTGCTTCAGAATGCGATGAGTATCTCTGCGCAAACGAGCACCCTAATTTTGTAGCAGATCCTGAATAAAAGATTAACACGCAAACTAGTCTCTGTCTTGTGATTGTGAGTTCTCATCATAAACAGCCTAATTCTCTTCCTCTTTTGTGCATAGTTTACTAGTGATGTATATCATACAATAAAGCCATGCTACAGTTTCTTCTAATATAATCCCGAGATTACTATATGAAAGTTTCTTCAGTCCCTTAAATTAAGTACTAACCATTTGTTATTGCTTCTAATCTGTCATTATCATGCCAATTCTGATCCACAATTTTTAAAAGACAACTCCCCTTTTTGTTATTCCAAATTTTAAGTCGATTTCAAAGACCCTTGTATATAAATCTTGCTTGTCCATATATGCCCAGAGACGCGCCGCCGCTTCTTTTCGTCTTTCCTCGTGAAATATTTTAGGCTTTGTCGGTCTCATCGCTATAATTACCTTAAAAAGTTTCGATTTTTCCTTTGAATATACATAAACCCACGTCGTTTAAAGCAATACCCAGATGACAAATTAATAAATCCTAACTAAAGATCGGAGCTTTTTCGTAGTTAAGTGATCATGAGAGCGAGATTGGTGGTTTTCCCGATTAAAGGGAAGAAGTGGTGTTTCAGCAGATCTGTTGATCCTTTCGCTGCTCAATCACCGTCTGGAGTTACTCCGACCACTGTACGAGGTTTATGGAAGAAAATATCATCTGAATCGAAACCCATCAATGCCAACGCAGAGCTTCTCGTCGATTTCATCTCTGACAAGGTAAAAATTTACATTGAAACTTTTTCTCTATATATAATTCATACCCGTGTGTTTTTGTGGCGTCTAGTAAGATTTATTGGTGTAGAAAGTTCCGACCAATGAATAAAGCTTTTGGTTTTGTTTCTGGTTAAAGGTTTTTGACAACTAACCTCATCTAGGACCACTAGAAATGAGATAAAAGAAGGGCTTTTTTTAATCAGTCTCCTTCCTTGATTTCTCCAATACTAAATTTGAAGAAATGGTGTTGTTGTTGTAATCGTTAGATGAATAAAGCTTGGGTGGGTCTTGAGAAATCGCCTGATGGATCAATAAAGAACAAGATTCATGGGTTTGTAAATTCTATACCTTTTTGTATTCTGAGACATTTCTTGAGGCTTTGGTCTATGTTTGTTGATAGGCTTATTAATGTCAAGTTGTGGTTGGAATGAATAGGTTTGGATTGAAGCTTCTGGCTCGTGTTAAGCCATCTGAGATTTTCTTGAAGTCTATATCGAAGGAGGTCACTTCTGTACAAGTCACTTATCCTCCCAGGTTCTATTTACTCTCCTTTTCTTGAAATTCTGTAAACTTGAGGACCAATATCTCTCTAATGAATGTTTTGATTATGTCTTCATGAGTATATATTCTGGTGAATTCGGATTGGTTACCTGTTTTAGCTAATCCATGTCAAATGTTTCAGTTTAGATCCTAGACTCGTACGCAGGAGACTACGGCACATCGCCATGAGGTAAATCACTTTGCAATCAAATGATGAAACATATATCCGGTTTTCACTTGTAATAGACTCAGAATCCCTGTTCCTTCTAACGCGAATGTTTTTAATTGGATTTGCAGTGGAACAATCCTGCACAAGAAGTACCTAGTTGGTTCAGTTACTTTGCTTCCATTGACCAGTGCATTTATGGTATGTATAGTATGAAGCTAGCCCTGATGAACCTTAGCAACTAACTCGTTTATTTTCTTAGAGTCTCATAACCACCAAACCCTTTTGTTCTTTCCAATTAGGTATTGCCACTACCAAACATACCATTCTTCTGGGTCTTATTCCGCACATATTCTCACTGGCGGGCTCTTCAGGTCTGTCATAACTTCTCCATAGATAATTCCATTATCAAGAGTATATAAACTATATAAGCCCGAAATCATCTTAATTGACATTTCAGGGAAGTGAGAAGCTGCTTAAGCTTATCTCAAACGAGTCAAATCCTGATAAACCAGACTCAACTGATGATGCAGACGAAAGCAAGAACAAGAAGAAGCCGGAACAAAAATTGCAATCTCCCACATGTGTAAGCTGATCTCTCTGTCATCAAAGAAACTCAATCAAAAAGGTTTTTTTTTTTTGGTTCTTATTTGTGTTTGTTTTTTCATGAAACAGATTTTGCTTCCATCAGAAGAGTTATATCAGCTAATTCGTGACGCTAGCGAGGAAGGACTCGACGAGGCGACCATAGTAGAGATTTGCAAATCCTTTGATCTCAATAAGAACGATGTTCTTAAATATCGCAATCTTGTCTAACTATTTTGGCATTTTAGGCTTCTTTTTTAGAACCCAATTTTAGCTGTTTGAAGCTATAACTTACGCTCCAATTCTTTTTTTTTTTGTCTTTTGATTCCTTGTTGCTTTAAAAACTTCTGTTACTTGGAAACAGTTGAATTTTTTGAACTACAAGGAAACTCTTAAGGATAAAATAAGCTTCTCAGAATTGTTGATGAAGCAAGAATTACACAAAAAAGAAAAAAAAGAATAAAAAGATACGAAAACAAAAACTCAAATATGGGCCGCAGTTAACAGCCCAGTTTACACGTGTGGTGGTTGTAGGCAATCCGGTTTGGTTTATGGTTTAGTTTCGGTTTGGTTCATTCGGTAATCTAGTATATAAAACCATTTGTAATTTAGTTAGGTTTGATCCGAGTCCAGTTTTGATACGGTTTGATATTTGTTTCAATTTCGTTTTGGTTACCCGAATTTTTGAATTAAAAAACAAATTGCGGTTCAGTTTCGGTTTGATTTGGGTTAGTTTTTTGGTTGCGAATTTTTTGCTCACTTCAGTTTGACTGGCACGTGGGATTATTTGCTCTGACCTCTCCAACAAGACAGAAAATATGGGCCTCGCTTAAAAAGCCCAGTTTACACGTGGGAGCGGCACGTGTGGTTCTTCGCCTATATTATTCGTTTCTGATACTAGTAGACTAAACGGAAATTAGAGCTTTCTTTTCCTCTCCAACAAGACACATAAATTCAATTTCTCTCATCCTTTGGAATCTCAAATCTCCGACTTCGAAATCCGGCGAAAATGGTGAGAGATATTGAAGATGAGATCAGAGACGAGAAGAATCCTCGTCCCCTTGACGAAGATGATATCGCTCTCCTCAAGACTTATGTAAGCCGTCCCCTTTTAGAACCCTAAATTTTGATTGGGGTTTCAGATTTTTACTCTTCTGATTCATCGGAGAATTCGGATCCAGTGTAGATTTTAGTTTCTCGAATGTGAAGGTTTCGTCTCTTTGCAAACCAATTTGATGTTTTCTCCTGAGTAATTTCGAGCTAGATTCGTTAGTGATTGCTCTCTGATGAGCTTGATTGTTCTATTTAGTTCAATTTTTTGCTTAGATGAGTAGTTTCGCGTGACTCTGCCTCACTGTTCGGATTAGGCGAAGTGGAAACATTCATAGTCAAATTTGCTAGGTTTGTTTTCTTGAATTTGAGCTAGATTCGTTTTAGTTGCTCTTTGATGAGCCTGATTGGTATACTTAGTTCAGTTTTGTGCTATTTACTACTTAGATGAGTGAATCTGATTCACTATTTGAATTAGTCTAAGTGGAAACATTCATAGTGATACTTAGTTGTCTCTGTTTTCTCTCCATATGTTTTGTTACTGAGCTTCTTAAATCTCATTATCTGCAGGGGTTAGGGCCTTACTCTGCACCTATCAAGAAAGTGGAGAAAGAAATTAAGGATCTCGCCAAGAAGATCAACGATCTATGTGGTATGTGCACACTCTCTGTTGCTCAAGTGTTGGGCTTACTTTGATTAGCTAGTGACTTCTGTCAACGGAATGACTTAAATGGTTATTGGTTGTTTATATTGAAACTTTCAGGTATCAAGGAGTCTGATACTGGTTTAGCTCCTCCCAGTCAATGGGATCTTGTATCTGATAAGCAAATGATGCAAGAAGAGCAACCTCTGCAGGTAAGCATTCTTTCTTAGATAGTTTTTCTGAAACGTCTTCTTCTATGTTATGGTAACTATAAGGGATTAAGGGTAAACGTTTTCTCTATCCAGGTTGCGAGATGCACAAAGATAATAAGTCCAAACACTGAAGATGCAAAATACGTCATAAATGTCAAACAAATTGCTAAGGTACATTTATATCTCTAGGCTGCTGTTACTGCATAATAAATTGTGTGGTTTAGAACCTTTTTGATGTTTGGTTATACTGATTTAGTTTTGGTTCTTAATTCCAGTTTGTTGTTGGACTTGGCGATAAAGTTTCTCCCACTGATATTGAAGAAGGCATGCGTGTGGGGTATGTTCTGTTTATGAGCTGAGTTTTTATCTGCTTAATTATCAGTTCCCCATTGTATCTTTCTATGTTTTATTTGCTTCAGATCAACCCCTTTTGCCATTGTACATTTCTAATATGGATGATAACTTATGAGAACGTTCTGTCTCTGATTTATACTTGCAGAGTTGATCGGAATAAATATCAGATTCAGATTCCTCTACCTCCGAAAATCGATCCTAGCGTGACCATGATGACAGTCGAAGAGAAACCTGATGTAACTTACAATGATGTTGGTGGCTGTAAGGAGCAGATTGAGAAGATGCGAGAGGTATGTTGAACTTTTGTTGATATCCCCTGTCCTTATCTTGCAATGTTTTACTAAAGTTAAACTGAGTGGTGTGATGTAATATTTTCAACAAATAAATTGTTAAAAGTTTTGTCGTCTTTGCTGATGCAGGTTGTTGAACTGCCAATGCTTCATCCAGAGAAATTCGTGAAGCTTGGAATTGATCCTCCCAAGGGTGTTCTCTGCTACGGTCCTCCTGGTACTGGTAAAACTCTTCTGGCGAGAGCTGTGGCCAATAGAACCGATGCTTGCTTTATCAGGGTTATCGGCAGTGAGCTTGTTCAGAAGTATGTTGGTGAAGGAGCTAGGATGGTTCGTGAACTGTTTCAGGTAATTGATTGAAAACACTCCTTTTTGCTATCTGAGTTTGCGAAGCCAATACTGCTATATTTTGTTCTGAATTGATTAATACTCTCTTTTCAGATGGCACGGTCCAAGAAAGCTTGCATTGTGTTCTTTGATGAAGTTGATGCCATTGGTGGTGCAAGATTTGATGACGGTGTAGGTGGTGATAATGAAGTCCAACGTACTATGCTTGAGATTGTGAATCAGCTTGATGGGTTCGACGCACGTGGTAACATCAAGGTTCTTATGGCAACAAACAGGTCAGTAACAATCCCCTTACCATCTCTAAGTAAACTACACAACCCAATAATACCGCTTGACTCATTGGTGTTTCTGTATTCACTCTCCAATCCAGGCCTGACACACTAGACCCAGCTCTTTTACGTCCTGGACGTCTTGACCGTAAGGTTGAGTTTGGTCTTCCTGACCTGGAGAGCAGAACACAGATCTTCAAGATTCACACAAGAACCATGAACTGCGAAAGAGACATCCGTTTCGAACTCCTTGCTCGCCTCTGCCCAAACTCAACCGGTATTAATCCCTTAACCATCAAACAGCTTTTCTATCTCTTGAGATTTGTTCTGACATGGGTGGTTTTGCTAATCTTGTCTTTTGCAGGAGCTGATATCAGAAGTGTATGCACTGAAGCTGGAATGTACGCAATCAGAGCTAGGAGAAAGACTGTGACTGAGAAAGACTTTCTGGACGCAGTGAACAAAGTCATTAAAGGTTACCAAAAGTTCAGTGCCACTCCCAAGTATATGGTCTACAATTAGAGAGAGATAGAAGAAGTCAGAAACACTCCTAAATCAAAACTCCGAAACACTCTTTGTTCTTTGTCAGCGTCTCTCCCCTTCAATCTCTTTTGCAGTACTTGTTTTACTACTTATTCCAGTAACTCGATTGCTTTCTTCTTCAATGTCTGATACTTTTGGATTCCATAAATTCTCTGTTAAGTTGTTTTTTTTGAAGTTACCAGTCCTTTGAAATTGACAACATGTTGATGATCAAGAATTGAACCAAGCCCAAATAGAACCAATGTAGAAGAAAACAAGAAAGAATTATGTTCATGTAGAGGATCTAGAAGCTACAACTTTGGAACATACAATTACAATAAAACAATGGGATTATACAATGCGTGAGTGTGCTTTTCATCTTCCAATTTTCTTTTTGTTGTGTCTGTGACTTCGGAGCAAAGTGTTTGTCTTTTCTCTTGGGAGAGGAATTTACATGTAATCACTGGTTGTGTCGGCATTACCAGCACGTTGTGACGGATCAACTCCGACAGTTCTCTTGCTCATGTTAGCTCTCTGCACTAACACAACTAGTGCCTGCACGACTTCAGACATTGGTGGTCTAAACTCCGGCTCCGGCTGTCAAGAAACAAAACCCAAAATCAGTAACAGACTTTCTTGATTTTGATTTTGCAAGTTATTTGCAAGATTCTATTTGTAACCATGATTTACCTGGACGCAGAGAGCGATAACATCTGCAAATCGAGAAAGAGATTTAACAGGATAAAGCCCTTTAAGAGCTGGATCAACCATTTTGGCTAAAGCATCAATGTCATGTAATTGTGGTGTCGCCCATCGAACCAATGACTGCTCAGATCTTGACCTTTTGCTGCTCAAGTAATAACCAGTTGTAAGATTCAAATTCAGAGACAAATTCCTCATCTAAATCAAGCCTAGCTTTGATCATAATAGAGTTTACCTGTCAAATGGTTTTCTCCCGGTTAAAAGTTCAAGCATCACTACTCCAAAACTGTAAACGTCGCTCTTCAAAGAATATTGGCCTGACATTGATACTTCAGGTGCGCTATACCCTTCATCGGTTTGGTTTAGTAACTGCACATATCAGAATGATCTAAGCAACCAAATAAGTTGAGAAATAGTTAAGAGTTTGGAGAAAAGTTTGTATATCCAACCTCATTAGCTGTTGGAAGGAAGCTTGCGAGACCTGAATCTGATAAGTGAGGATTCAGCTCTGAGTCGAGTAAAATATTGGCTGATTTGATATTCTTGTCAATTATAGATGGTGAACAAACTTCATGCAGATACCTGCAAGAACAATAATTTCAGTTAAACCAAAATACTCATTTCTTTTTAAATAATGAGCTAAGCAATGAATTGTTTTTGGAATATACTCCAATGAGCGTGCAGTCCCAAGAGCGATCTTGACTCGTGAATTCCACACCAATGCTTTACTTTCCTCTTCTGATAAGTGTAAGAAGTCATGTAATGATCCATTTTTGTGGAATTCATAGACCATGAGATGTTGTCCGTGCTCAGCACAGTAACCAACAAGCTTGGTCACATTTGGATGATCCAAATTGGCGATTTTCGATACCATTTCAATGAAATCATCGGTCATGCCATGTGGAAGAGCAGACGAATCAATTTTCTTCACAGCAAGAACCTGAAAGATAAGACGTTTTCCAAAAACATTATGACATAATTCAAGACAGAAATT